GCCCGTGGGTGGCTGGTGGATCAAGAAAGAGAACATCCAAAAGTTTTCTGAAGACACGAAAAACCAAGTTTCAGCTGCTGTGGCTCGTGGTCTCTTGACGGCGTGTACTTGCCTTGAAATTATCTCTAAATGCTGTAATAAAAACTTCAGCAAGAAAACCGGGTTCCGCTTCTCCCCTGTTCCCTGGTGGTGTAAGGAGAAAAAACCAAAAGGGCCACGTGTATCTCTATTAGAAGACGCCTGGCTAGATGTAAGGACCGCGCTGAGAGGAAAGAGATTATGGTACAGCTCAAGTCTGCTCAAAGAGAAATGAGGATGAAAATCTGGAAGGCGATGCGTTCCTCCTGGAACAGATTGATTGACCAACTCGACAAGGACCCGTGGGGGAAAGCCTATAAGCTAGTTAGCAGGGAAATCAAAAGACCTCCTTCTTGTGATAAATCAAAACCATCGCAGGAGGCGATCTTGGAGGCCTTTACTGAGCTTTTTCCTTTCCACCCTCCGTTAACTTGGACTCCACTTCCTGTTGACTTGAACTCTGTTCCCCTTTTTTCCGTTGACGAGCTTATCACGGCGGCATCCAGGCTAAAAATAGGCAAGTCCCCAGGACCTGATGAGGTTCCTCCGGAAATTGCCAAGGCGTTTGTCCTCTCCAATCAAAAGGAATGCCTGGACATGCTAAACGAATACTTAGTAAATGGAGTATTCCCCCAAGAATGGAAAATTGGCCGGCTGGCCTTAATTCCTAAAGATCAGAAAGGCTCTTTCAGCAAAAAGAAAAGGCCAATTTATATGCTTGACTGTTTAGGGAAAGTATACGAAAGGATGCTGCAGCAGAGGATTGCCCAGGAGGTCACTCTCTCGGATAACCAGTTTGGATTCCGAACAGGACTGTCAACTAATGATGCCATTGAGAGGGTTAACGCCAAGATTAAAGAACTCCGTTACGCAAAACCTTCAAAGCCCTTTGCTTTTATTGCATTAGACATCAAACATGCTTTCAACTCGATCTCCTGGGCAGATCTTATTGACTCGATGATGGAAAAGAAGGTGTCTAACTATTTGGTGAATGTCATGCAGAGCTACCTCTCAGATCGTTTCGTCATCATTGATGACCTTATGATGGAAGTCTCTTCTGGCCTCCCGCAAGAAAGTATCTTGGGACCACTTTGCTAAAACATTGCGTATGACAAAGTAGTGGATCTGCTACCTGAACCGGAGTGGTCTACAACGGCTTTTGCTGATGACATGGGAGTAGTGGTCTCTGGAAGAAATAGTCTTGACCCTAAGATTACGTCAGGTAAAGTTACTAAAGAGATTGGAGACGAGCTAAGGAAAAAGGATCTGACTCTTGAGCCCCTATAGTCTGAGGTGCTCATCTTTGGAAAGCTTTACAAGACATCTGCTGTATTGATTGACGATATTCGGATCAGATCTGCTGAGATCTTAAAGTACCTTGACATTTGGCTCTCTAGAGATTATTCCTTTACGCCTCACATCAAACTGGCTTGTCAAAAGGCCAGAGGACACACTCAAGTCCTCTCCTGCCTTATGCCCCTCTCTAGGGGTCCTTCCTTTCTTAAGAGGAAACTCATTTTCTCGTCAGTGTCATCAGTACTATTCTACGGTCTTCCGATCTGGCATCAAGATGCATTGAAGAAAGGCAATGCTAATCTCATAGCAAGCACCCTCCGCCCTTGCAAGTTAAGGCTGTGCTCAGCTTACAGGACGGTTTCCAACAGCTGTCTTGATGCCATCTCGGGGATCCCGCCTGTTCCCTTGCAGATTGAGGAAAAGATGAGGAGATTCGGAAGATTGGAGAACTTCATGGATGTTAAGCTGGATATAATTCGCCGTTGGAGTGATCTGTGGTTTGCAAACCCCTCTGGGGACGTTTGGTTTAAAACTCTCATCCCGGACTTCGAAGACTGGCTTCTCCGTGAACGAGAAATGGAAATTGATTTCTTTATGACCCAGCTCCTCAGCGGCCACGTGATTTTCAAATTCTACCTCCACAGATTTAAACTTGACCAAAGTCCCAAATGTGTTTTTTGCTCAAAGGACGTCATTGACGACGCGCGGCACACCTTTTTTGTCTGTGACCGCTTTATTAGACACAGACTCCAGGTCTATGCGGATCTCGGAGAAGATTTAAATGTCGAGAATTTTCAACGCGTCGCCCTAAGCAGTCTGACGGCTTGGAATAGGGTCAAGCGGTTTGCTAAGGAGGTTCTTTCTTTTAAATCTCTTGTCTTTAAGGGATCAGAAACTACACAAACCCCTGTTTAGAATTTCATTACTTTTTCGACTATGTTGTTCTTATTAATCTACTGTCTTTTGTTTAAATCCTTCCTGATGGAAGGTGGGTAGAAGAGCTAATGTTATGCTTCGCTGCGGTTCTGGCCCTCTCTTTCCCTAACTTAATCCTTTCTTTGATATGTCTTATTTTATTCTACTTAGATTAGTTAGTCTTTATTCTCTCTTTCTGTCCTATGTTTCACCAATAAAGGAAAATTGGAATAAAAAAAAAAACTATTAAAATATAGTTGTGGGAACGCTTAAGTCTTTACAGGCTTAAGTTCCCCACATTCAGCTCCATAGATGAGGCGTGCTTTGCGTCATGGCTTTTCGTGAGAAATCACGGATTTCCAGGGCCAGCGATAGAGATAGGTCCGTCGGAAGTTGGCGCTTGTTTATGTTTGAACGTGAAGCTTCAGTGTCGTGGAAGTGCACACGTTTTGACATAAAAAGATTCGGTGATCGCATGGGCGAGATCAGTCTCGAGGAATAGATTCCCAGATGGTCCGGTCCGTCCCCCCGTGAGTGGCCAGTCAAGTTTTAGAGTTGTCAGTTTTTAGAGTGTTTTTGTTGATGTAAGATTTTGTGGTTTTTATTATATGTTATAAGAGTTGTATGTGGTCCATGTCATTTTCCCGACCCGGACCCCCCCCCCAAACAATATTATTTCCTGGACAAGAATATCCCGTAGGATTTACCAAGTGCATACTTCATAGCTCATAGTTCATAGGAAGTTTAGTTTGATGCGTATCGTTTCCTTGTGCCTATCTCAGTAAATTTGGCGACTTTATCCCAGATCCATCATCCCGTGCTGATTCTCGTACGCAGCTGTGATCAAACTTTTTAAGTCACGACGCTGATTGCGCAGAGAATCTGGACGCGCGACGAAATCTGGGATTTCTTTAAGCCTTTTTGCTGATTCTACTTTTCATTGCATCTATCAGTGTTTGCTAAATTAGTGCCGAGTACGCGAAAGTATCTTATTTTTTTTAAGTCACAAAATTTCTCTGCCCACCGGGAAATCGTGCGTCGTTCCATAAACATCGCGTCGAGTAAATAAACAGTAAAAGCTGCCTAGTCTACATTGAATTGCGACTTGTGTGAAAGTTACGGGAAGCAACTCAATGAAGGGAATAGCATAATACGGAGAAATCTTTTTCCAAAATTGTGTTTTAAGAGACTCGTCAATGTTTCCAATCGCGCTCGTTGCACCGAGAGCGGTTGCGAAAACGCTGATGCCAGTAAACACAAAGAAAAACGGACCGAGTCCATACTGCCTCATGCCGGTTTGATTGAGAATGTGTACGATGCGGTTGGATTTGAATGGCAAACCGAGCTTGTGCAGGCAGTCCCAGGACCAAGAGACACATTGTTAGAGGGCATAGAGACCAGAGAAAACGGCCGGAAAATGACCCAAAACTGGAACCAAACATTTTAACCTGGTTTATGGGGGCTAAGTTCCGCGCAGATGGATCCTTGAGGACACTGGATCTTCCAAGAAATACTGGGACAAAATCGAGAAATTCAAGCTCAGCAACAAGAAATGTTTAAAGCCCAGCTGGAGGTGATGAAAAAGTTGAGCCAATTCATAATGGAATGGAACCAGTTGACAGCAGGATCCAACGTTCCCCGATCAGCAGAAGGACCAATAATTTCAATAAAAGGCACCCCCTTCAAAAGACTTTTCAAGGGTGAAAGTGACTGTGAGATCAGAGACTTTTTGAAAGACTTCGAAACATACTACCTCAACTGTTCGGACAAAGAAAAGAGGGAACAGCTCAGATGCCACCTTGGCAAGAGGGCGGTACTGTATTATGACAACGAAGAAGTATCGTTCGTGAATTGTCGATCCTTTGACGAGGTCAAGCAAAAATTGATAGAATACTTTGACAACGAAGAGGACGCACTAGAAAGATTCGTGGCATGCAAGCAAAAAAGTGACGAGGACCCGTTGGATTTTGTCCAAACCAAGAGAAAATTGGCAAAGACACACGGGTTAATATCACGGAGGCTCAACTAGTTCAAAACTTAAAAATGGGCCTGGCACCGCAGTACCGCGCCATAGTTATGATCTGCCGTGATTCAACGATACAAGAATTGGTGACGTCCGTCAAGAATGCTAAGCTGGTTGTTTCAGCCACAAAGAAAGAAGAAAAGTCGCTTTTGGCGATAAATCGCCCAGCGAGGCACGACTAGTTGCTAGAATCCAGGGTAAAAACCGCGGAAAATACTTTAGCAACGTTGGTATCCGCAGTTGGTAGGAGCACTCGCACATTGGACACTTTGAGGCGGGACGTGGCCAGGGAAGTGGACGCAATAGTCGCGGTAGGAAAAAGGTTACGAGCTTCGGAGTACGGTGATGCGTCCTGTCAGGGACAGTACCAAATGACAGGGATGCCCTCCAAGAAAAGAAAATGGACACGAAACCAAGAAGTTGACGCCCTGCGTGCCTCAGCAAACTCCAGGAATCAGCAAAGTAGATGGAACGGGAACGTGAATCAGGCCGTTTCAAGGGCGCATTCTGCAAATCTTCATCAAAGCCAGTACAAGAATTTCCAACAACAAAACAATGCTGGGGGAACAGTGAAAACAACAGTGAGGGAAAATGAACAGGTTAAGATATTGTCAATCAGTTCTGACGAGGCTTTGGATCCTTCAAGCAGTACAGTAAAATCTCATGATACTTTTGATACTAAAAATCCGTGAAGCTATCCTGTAAAAAATGAGTGTCATGTCTTTTGCTGAAAGCGATGTTGGTGCGCGTGGAGTAACAGTGGCCCACGACCCGAAGCGTGCGATTTCTGAAGAAACCGAAAATTCTTTAAAGAATGATTGCGAGAAAACAAGAAGATACAAGATAGAGAGTAATTGTAGTAATAAGGAAGTGATTTTGGACAAATCGGGTTATGATTTTTCAGATTCAAATAATGTGGATCATGAACCTATTTACATAAAAAGTGTTATTTTTGTACAAGATAAAAACGTTGAGCAAGAGGTTCATTCCTTGCCTGATTTTTATGATACGAATTTTGGGTCTAATGCATCTTTGAGCAGTGTTTCAGATAGTTCTGAGGAAATTGGCATAAACAAAGGAAGTGTCGAGCCCGTTAGGGAGCATGGAGATCCCGACACGTTCAATATTTGCAAATCTGAGGAGAGACCAGCCGCATGTGAAACTCAGGATGGAGATTTTCACAACATACAAATATTCCCTGCGGAATTCGTAAGTTCTATTGAAGAAAATGGTAAAAATGATTATTTTGATCAGCAAGAAACTAGAATAGAGGCATCAAAACTCGAACACGAGGTCGAATGCTCACGGTAACAAGCGATGAACTTGAACTTACGCGTGGTTTACGCGTTTCAGGTAAACAAGGTGAGCGCAGCGATTTTCAAAACATTGACGCAGCCAGTCGCGAAGTTTACAAATTCAAAAAAATGAGCGAGGGAAAGCGAGGCTGTACTACTACGAATTACACAGATGATGCCAAATCGGAGTTCAATAAGAAAGTCTGCTCGAAAATTAATGTTTATTTTAATGGATCCAAGCTGCATTATGATTTTTCTTGGAGGAGATTGCCGCCCAAGAATTGGAGATTTAGGAGGAAATTCGATCCTAAGGGATAGTATCAATCCAGAATTTTTGGTATCAAAAACTGCAACTTTCTTATCCTAATGACGATGGGTTTTTTTTACAGAATACGATAATATATTCTTTGATTTTCAGATTTTTTTTTTGTTGGTTTAAATTTTACTCGTCTTAACGGACTTTTCCGAAGGTCGGTGAATCAAGAATTATACATAAAAAATGGGACATTCATTACTGGAAAGTCCATCTAGAAAGAAGAAGAGGTTGAAAAAGTCAGCTTTGTAAGAAAATATCTTCAACATTTCTTGATCGTCTTATGTTTGGAGAAAATATGAATATTTTTTTTTCCTCCTGGAAAATTTTATTCGGTTTAGCTCCGTCTTTTTTCCTCCTGTCTTTCACGGTCCTCTTCGGTTTATTCAGAATGCATGCACGTACTTTAGTTTCATTATTTACTTATTTTTATTACTCTTGACTTTTTTATGCTTTTTGTACATGCTTGATATGTTTGTTGTGTATGTGTTGCATGTACCGGTACATACATGTTGCATTGCACGATTTCTGTAATTGCGCGATCAAGATGAAAAAAAGGCCAAGCTTCTTGATCACCTACTTTTACATCGAAATTTAGATTTTCAAGTCCCATTTTATCAAAGCAAAGGATTGGGCTAAGTAACGCGGTTCAAATTACAAAATCTAACCGTAGAGCAAATATTAATTTCAGTGACTTAAGGTGAATACTTTTATCGAGTCCTTCTTAGGTCTGTCTCTCATTCTCTTTTTAAGTCTTTAAGTTTTCTTTAGTTCTGCTGTTAATGGCAGAAACTCGTTACAGGTTTCGTTCTTCCTAAGGAAAAAGAGAACGTGGTGGAAAAAAGCTATTGCCCCCGTATAAATGTAGTTCCCAAGAATGTTTTTCTTTTACTCTCAAGAAAAAAAAAGAATGCCGTTTTGTGCGCTGCAATTTAGGTAACAGGAGAGTGAGTTCAAAATAATTTTTAGACTCTGATATTGAATACTTTCACCTGCTTCAGAATCGTTTTCTAAGAATTTTGAGAAGTATGCATTTCTAACTTTGTGGTCTCACAATGTATTTTTGAGTCCTGTTCCACTCTTTCTTTACTCTTTTATTTTCTTCATGATTTGCTAATTAAAGATTTTCTATTTCCATTGTAACGTTGATTAATTTTCATTGTGAATTACGACCGGGAACTAAACTAGAACTACCCAACTTCATTACTAATTTTATAAAATTGATCCTTTCTCTTAAAAAAGGTAAGGATTTTTCCTCTTCCTTGCAGAAATGTCAGGGGTACCTAAGCATAAACGAATTTTTAAACGCGCAGCACGTTGTGTGCAGCGTTGTCACATTTTGTTAATCCTGATTTTATGACTTTTTCATTTGTTTAATACGTATTTAATTATATCTGCAATTTTTACTTTTCAAACTTGCTTCCTTTCCGTAAGTCTTTCCTTATTTGTATCAATTGCGATACTTAAGTAAGCAATTGTTTCCTTCAAACAACCGTCCATTTATTAGGAATCGTCGTGTTAAGATGAAAATATGCACAAATTTACTGTAACAACAAAGAAACCCAGAACAGTTTTCGATTTTTTTTTACCTGGAAAAAATTTCGTGGTGGAGCCGGTGCTACTGCCCCCGCATATGAGTGGAAAGTAATTTCTACTGATTATTTGTTTTACTTTTAAGAAAAAAACCATCAGGTGCAATTCATCTTTCGATATAGAATTGGAAAGTAATTTCTTGTTATTTTTTACTTACATTGCCGTTATGTGCAGTAAATTGCAGATTATACAGGGTGTCCCAAACTTCCCTTCCACCCCATCTAAAATTTTACCTAGTTAATATTTTGAAACGAAACTTTGGGAATGTTCATCGATCAATGTAAGCTACTTTTGAGGCCCCCCAAAATTTTCGGGGCCCCCCGTGGGGAGGGGCTGCGGACCCCAACTTTTTTTTTTCAAATGGCAACCCCTATCTTGTGATACCTCATTCGAAAGAGCATAAAAAACTAAGAATTTTGGCGCAAACCGCAGATCAATATCTTAATTTTTGACCGAGTTATGATAGGTCAAAGGTCAAATTTGACCTATTTTCAAAAAATCATAACTCCGGTTCAAATTATCGTAATGAAAAAAATAAAACGGGAAAATTTACCACATTGTAAGCACTTTTAAGGGAAAATCACAGAAATTACTTCAAACTAATTTTAAGGGGGGTTTCGGACCCCCAAATACGTCAATTCAAAGGTCATTCAATTTTCCCGCGAAATAAGCCAATTTCCCCCAGATTTGCCTCCATATTAGTTCAGTAAGGTCAAAATCAGTTCAACATTACGTTGGCAAGCCCCCAAATTTCGGAAAAAGTTAAAAAAAAAAAATTTTAACGGTCAAATTTAATCACCTTTAATTTCGTTTTTTTTAACTTTTTCCGAAATTTAGGGACTTGCCAACGTAATGTTGAACTGATTTTGACCTTACTGAACTAATATGGAGGCAAATCTGGGGGAAATTGGCTTATTTCGCGGGAAAATTGAATGACCTTTGAATTGACGTATTTGGGGGTCTGAAACCCCCCTTAAAATTAGTTTGAAGTAATTTCTGTGATTTTCCCTTAAAAGTGCTTACAATGTGGTAAATTTTCCCGTTTTATTTTTTTCATTACGATAATTTGAACCGGAGTTATGATTTTTTGAAAATAGGTCAAATTTGACCTTTGACCTATCATAACTCGGTCAAAAATTAAGATATTGATCTGCGGTTTGCGCCAAAATTCTTAGTTTTTTATGCTCTTTCGAATGAGGTATCACAAAATAGGGGTTGCCATTTGAAAAACAAAAGTTGGGGTCCGCAGCCCCTCCCCACGGGGGGCCCCGAAAATTTGGGGGGCCTCAAAAGTAGCTTACATTGATCGATGAACATTCCCAAAGTTTCGTTTCAAAATATTAACTAGGTACAATTTTAGAGGGGGTGGAAGGGACTTTTGGGACACCCTGTATGAATGATACTCTTGAGTTATATACCTCAAATTTTAGTATTTTCATGCTTTCCACAAATAGGAAATTTTAACTTAGTAGTAGTCTAACTAAGTGTTTTTGGCATCGTTTCAGAGGTCCTGCTCTCAGAGGGAGTTTCCTAATGCCGTCTTGGAATTCGCATCACTGACGAGAAACGCATTTCCGGCCCATGTCGCTTGAATAGTACACGTCAAAGATGACACCCAACCGAAGTGAGCCTAACTTCACTGTCCATGGCAGGCTGCAGGCCGGCTCATTTCTGTTGGTGCCTGTGGGATTTTGGTCATCCCGGTTCTCCGCTCGGAAGCATCTCCCTGGGCTCACGGGCTCATAAGGAAGATATCTAAGGTATCTCCATCCGTGGTTGGTGACGGTCGGCATCCCTTTACATCCCTGGGAAATTTCGCTGCATCAACTTTTCAGCGGACTCTGGCACATTTCTCCCGAGGGACTCGTCCTGTCGTCATTTCTCCTTGTCGGGCATACTGGGACATCCTGGTAGACACAATGCCGTCAAGTCAAGGGTGACCTTCAAACCTGGCTCACCTTACATCAACCTTTGGGCGAGTTCAGGCACGTTCTTCCTGAGCGGTCGTCGGAACATCAGGCCGGCAGACATCCGAAGGTACAGTGGCTTAGCGCCAAAAAAGGGCCAAATGCTGCAAATCGTGATTCAGTTTTGCCACTTTGGGTGATCAAACTAGATGATATTTTAAGCGTCTTGAGTCGAAGAGGCATTTCCAAAATGGTGGCAGATCCAAGATGGCGGCCGGCGCGTACTTTGAGCCGCTCTAGATCGTGACCCGCTCAACCGATTTTAAATTTTTTTTTTTTTGATTGAAAGATAATTTTAAGGATCATATGAAAAACGTACAATTTTTTTAATTTTAAGAATATACACGGTGTTTTTTCCACAAAAACCGGGTTTCGCGTGTAGAAAAAAATCTTATAATTCGCATAATTAAGGTCACTTTAAATACTCACCATGTAAAAGAGCATCTTTTAAGCTTTCCAACGATATATTACATGATGGGTCTATAATTTAAGGTTTCCGCGCCACTGCGATCCGCGCGGCGGCGGCACAGCCGCGGGCCTGCATAAATTAGTCCACGGGCATATGTTGAAAAGAAGCCTACCGTGGAATAGTAAATGGAGTAAGTGTGGAAAATGGCCTAATCTCTTCTTTTCGATGTGTATAAAAATAATTTTGATGTTGTCAAGCTCAACTTTGCGTCCAACCCCTCCAATTCAACATGGCAGCCAAAATGGGGGCTCGGGGGTTGAAGATGTTGGAATTTGTTTTTGATGTTGTGTATGGGTATGGGGTCCATCACTATGTAATTTTGGTCGTAGAATCCGAATTTGAGGTCCAAAATTGTCTCCGGCTCAAAGGGATGCCCAAAATCCAATATGGCCGCCAAAATTTCCACGATAGGGTCAAGTCTCCGAGAGTTGCGTAAAAGTGCCGAGTTGGGTATCTTTCCTAGGGTTTTTTGGGTCGTAGATTTCACTGATGAGGTCAGAATTTTACTACAGGTTTATTGAAGCCCAAAAATTTCGAGAAAAACCGCTAAGTATCGAAGCGGGCCGACCAGGCCGGCCCGGTGGGACAAGTCCCGAGCCGATTTAAAGGAGCGAGTCTGTCTGGTTGGCGCAGCCTCTTGGCGATCGCCGACAAGCCGTTGCTCAAAGCCCGGGGCCATCCGCGCAGACCCGTACAACCCCAAACCTAAACGGCCTCGGGCACGGACTCGTCGCCGAGGGGTTAGCGAGGCTGCTCGCCGGTCGTGGTTGAAGCCGTCTCTACTCCGCAGCCGTCGGGCGGATCACCGGTGCTGTATGCCGTGCAACTCGATGGTGGGGAATTTCGCGCATCGCTAAAGTCCTTGGGTGGGGGCGGTCGTTAAGTGACTCTTCTTAAACGGGCACTTTGCAGGCTTTGTCTGGAGAAGATCGTCCCCTTGGCGCTAGGAGCAGCGTTGCTGAGGCTTGCAGAACGTCTCCCACGCAATCGTAATATGGCGGCCAAATGGCTGGCGTTGCGGGGTGAAATATTTTTTTGAGGCTCGTATCGTCGAGTGAGATGTCCCTGCATGGGTTTTTTGGGTCGTAAATTCCACAAATGAGGTCCAAATACCCAAACAGGCCCATAAAAGTTCTCTAGGAACCAAAGTGGTGGCCAACATGGCCGCCGCTTAGATAGTGAGAACGGTAGAGAAGTTACCTTTCATATAATGATGAATTTTCGTGTATGTTTTGTACTCCGCTGATTCCGTCCTCTAGTACAAGCGGGATCGTTATTCCTGCGAAAAATAGTTTTCCGTAACCCGCCGTGCATGACTCAGTTGACCACAGGAGATTACCCGGGCTCGAAGTCATGTTAGAGAAGAAAGCCTTTCCCCTCATTGATTATGAAGGGCCGTTTGTAAAAAAAGTGTCAACTTCTTCCGGAGAAAGAGAAAGACTGGAGAGAGAGAAGATGGCTGGGGAGAGGGGGTGAGAGGGCAGGGAGAGGAAAAATTGGCAGAGAGAGAAAAATAGATAGTAGAGAGAGAAAAAAATTAGCGAGAGAGAGATGAATTATTCATGGCGAAAATAATTTCTCCGCGGAAAATAATTTCACCCGAGGTTGAATTGCTGTTCTAATGTTCAGGATTGAGGTTATACCCTCAACGGTGCCATCGGTTGCACCGGCCGATTTGCTCCGTTGCCACATGGATATTATTTACAAATGGATGTTATGTTGGTAGTACTTGGAAGTGTCTGACAGTCTTGTCTTGGCGGGCTTGGTGCTTGGCACATGCTTGGTATGTAATTGGTATGTACTGATTGTGAGCTACACGTGCTACCTATACACAGAACAGAACAGAACAGACTTAGACTTGTTCTCATCCTCATTCGCATTCCTTACTCTCGCATGGTGCAATTCATTTCAAAGATCGTTTTGATCAACGCTTTTTCTTGGTTCTTTCAGTGTTTTGTGCTTTCAGCTTGTTAAATAACAACTAAATCAGTCAAGTCCAGAGTTTCGAGCTTTCCGTAATCAGTTAGTAAATGCATTTACTGTGCAACGAGTCAACCGGAATTTGTATCTTAGGTAAGAAAATGATGGATATTGTTAATTTTTTTCACAGAGTCTACAGATTAGGATCGATTTTATCAGAAAAGCACCAAGGTTTTGGATACGTTACAAATTTGTGTATCTCCCATGGGACACTTCCAAGTACTACCAACATAACATCCATTTGTAAATAATATCCATGTGGCAACGGAGCAAATCGGCCGGTGCAACCGATGGCACCGTTGAGGGTATAACCTCAATCCTGAACATTAGAACAGCAATTCAACCTCGGGTGAAAACATTTTCCGCGGAGAAATTATTTTCGCCATGAATAATTCATCTCTCTCTCGCTAATTTTTTTCTCTCTCTACTATCTATTTTTCTCTCTCTGCCAATTTTTCCTCTCCCTGCCCTCTCACCCCCTCTCCCCAGCCATCTTCTCTCTCTCCAGTCTTTCTCTCTCTCCGGAAGAAGTTGACACTTTTTTTTACAAACGGCCCTTCATAATTGATATCGCATCTTCTCCGACCGTATCTCTCACATCTTCGTTTCCCCTCATTGCAGCATGCATCAAATTGCGATTATCCGGAATATACGATCACACGTCATATCTGATCGAATCCGTCGCCCACTTTTACTGATACGGAAGACAAGACTTGTCTCACTGGGTCAACAGTCGGTTAGTTTAATTTCATTTCGAAGAGGACAGAAGATCCATCGCTCTTGGCGCCCTGGCCCTGCTGATATCTAGGCGCCAGTGTAAGGCGCCAT